TTTTTTTTTTTTTTTTTTTTTTTTTTTTTTTTTTTTTTTTTTTTTTTGGATAAAAACCAACTTTCATTGAAAAAAAAACAATAAAGAATACAAGGGCATCCAAAAAAAAAAAAATGCAGCCTATAAAAGGGAGTCCAATTAAAGGAAATGACTCCAATCAAGAAGAATAAGAACTAGGAAATATTACAAATATGTTTTGTCACCAATGCTCAAAGAGAGGCATAGAACCTAGCAAGGAACTACACGCCTAAGGCCCTCTCTCAACATGTGCAAAATGCATCCAATACTTGTTTGTGAGCCAGTTTGCTACATTAGTTGTTTTATAAATGTGCCAAATGTGTTTTTCTGAGGTTTTCTTGCTCTTGCTGCAAGTCTTCTAATTCAATGCTTATGCGACCAGATTAAACTAATTTCATTCCATTCATCAGTGAGTTTGCTGAAATGGCAGTTCAGTTTACTTCATACTGGGTTTAATAGCTGGAATTAGTTTTTGTTCTTAACTAATTAGATCAACTGTTTTTATTTTCACCTATACAGACAAGTGCATCCTTGAAATTCACTGTTTTGAATCCCAAGGGACGAATTTGGACCATGGTGGCTGGAGGTGGTGCAAGTGTCATATATGCAGACACGGTGTGTTTCTGTTGTCTGCTACAATACTTGACTGTCGGGATTCGCCCTTAAATTTTATTATTTTGAATTTCTTGATAGAAGTTTTCTTTTTGTATAGGTTGGTGATCTTGGTTATGCCACTGAGCTCGGAAACTATGCAGAATATAGTGGAGCACCTAATGAGGAGGAGGTGTTGCAGTATGCCCGAGTTGTTCTTGATGTAAGCATTGTATATTACCAAGTTGGATGTGCATAACTTAAGTACCATATCGAATTGCCATCATGAGTATGTGGAGATGCTTGAATTTGTAATTAAACATCTGCTTCTGTATATTGGATACTTTTATTCCCTGTAGTGTGCAACTGCTGACCCCGACGGCCAAAAGAGAGCACTCGTGATTGGAGGAGGGATAGCCAACTTTACTGATGTAGCTGCTACATTTAATGGCATAATTCGGGCCTTGAAGGAGAAGGTGAAACCCCTTTCCAGTTTCAGGGAATCCATTTGGTCGATTCATGAAGTACACTAATAATGTTGTGTTATGATTCAGGAATCGAGGCTGAAAGCGGCTAGGATGAATATTTATGTGAGGAGAGGAGGCCCCAACTACCAGAGAGGTCTTGCCAAGATGCGGGCACTTGGTGAAGAACTTGGTGTTCCAATTGAGGTAGAGTGAAGCATTAATTACTTCCAACTATATATTGTCAAAGGCCTAAAGAAATGCTGGTACTGAGAAACCTTGGTTTCTAATATATAGGTTTATGGGCCAGAGGCAACCATGACTGGTATATGCAAGCAAGCAATTGAGTGCATAACGGCAGCTGCCTAAGTCAGGATACACCATACGCGTCGAGCTTGTCATAGAAATCTTATATTATGTGTGTAGTTTACTTGGGTTTAACCAATTGGTGGTGGTAGTTTCTCAAGTTTTAAATAAAATTATACATTTGTGATGCATTCGAACAAGAATAAGTGAGCAGAGAAGTTTTGAGTGGATAATGTTAATGCTGAGGGGAAAGTGTGAATTGAATGTAGATGGGTGTAGCGACCAGTGGCTATCTTGTTTTGCTTTCAGTATAGCTCATAGCTTATCTTACATTTAAGAGGGGAACTATTCAATTGAGTAGGCCTATCTCTCACCACTCTTTCAACTATTTCTATAGAATCTTACTTCCCTGTCTCCAAGTCCTGTTACTTCCAAAAGTGTTAAGTTTTTTCTTTTATTTAAGAAGGATCTACCATCCTCTCTCTCCCTTCTTTTCTACTCTTCCTTGTGCATGAAATTTGTACAGTCTAGCTACCGAGAAAGTATAATCCCTTCAAAGTTGTTGTCAAATTGGGTTGATGGTGGTTTGCATGAATATTATTGCTTGAAAAAGAGCAACAACCACCGGATTAATTATGATGTAAAGAATGATTGTGTCTGTCCTAATAACTTATCTGGCTGCATCTTCTTCCGGACAAGAAAGGAAACAAATGGGAAGGGCCCAGTGATTAAAGGTCGGGAGGGTACAAGTCAATCATGTCCCTACACCCTACACTGGAGCCTGAGTCTCACATGTAATCAAAATGTGAGTCTCGCAGATAATCAAAATTTTGGCATTGAGTTATTCTGGTCGGGTTTCAGTGGTGGTCCACCACATGAGCCATCAAAATTTACAGCTCATACCTCCCACTCATATTAATTTAAAATATATGAAATTGAAATAATGGATCAGGAGCCAGAGAAGAAGCAACGGACCACAGAGCAAATCACATCAAATATGGGTAAGGAAATGATATGTTCTGAGATCTGCTCTATATAATGAACTTTCCCTTCTCTTATTTGTTCTTGTCTTCAACGGCGTCAAATGTTCCAACTGCGGAGGCTGAGATGAGTGAGAGGGTGGAGGAATGTGCAATTGGCGGAGATATTTTGGAAGAGATAATAAGTCACGTGCCGTTGGTGGATCTTGTTTCCGCCAACAGCGTGGCGTCCTCGTGGCGCTCTGCAATCTCCAGCTCCCTCCTTCGTCTCAACACTGTAAAGCCATGGCTGATGCTTCACTCCCAGTCCACTCGCTCTCCATCCGCCGTCACCACACTCGCCTATGATCCACGGTCCCACCTCTGGATGGAGGTCCAACAGCCCTGCTCCTTCTCCAACTCCTCCTCCTCAATCCATTACTTCTCTCTTCTTAGATCCTCCCCCTCCTCCCTCCTCTACATGCTCTCCGCCTCCAGATTTGCCTTCTCCATGGATCCACTCCACCTCAACTGGCAAGTAGCCGCCCCACCCATCGGGTGGCGCCCCGACCCTGTGGTTGCCGCGGTGGGCAACCATATAATTGTGGCCGGTTCTGGAGCCTGCTGCGGCATACAAGATGATGACACCATTCCTCCCCTAGAAATCTACGACACCACCACTGGCACGTGGGAGTGGTGCAACTCCATGCCCACGGAGCTCATGGACTCGGCGGCCTCCACTTGGCTGTCAGTTGCGGCGGACCAGAACAAAATGTACGTGAGCGTGAAAAGGTCGGGCGTAACATACTCGTTTGATCCTCGGACAAAAACTTGGTGCGGACCGTACAACGTGCGTGGAGATGATGTGGAAAGCGTGTTCTTCTCGGTGATTGGTTGTGGTGGAAAGGGTATGATAGTGGTGGGTTTGAGGGGAGAGGCGGAGGACGTGAGGAGCGTAGTGATGTGGGAATTATTAGTGGAAACGGAGGGGCGGAGAGATGAGTGGGAGATGCCATTCCAGCTGGTGGAGAAGCTGAAGGGCGAGAGTGAGTACATGCCCTCCATTCACTTGAATGTGATGGGAGATTTTGTTTTTGTGCACAACCCTTTGGAGGCCAGGGAGGTCGTTGTGTGCGAGGTGAAGGAGGGAGCATGCCGCTGGGGAAGCGTGACAGCCGCTGCCTTGGACCGCGACTCTTGCCGCTTCCGCAACCTGGTGGTGTCCTGCTCCAACGTAACCCTCCCATACTTGGAACGCGCCCGGAACTCCACGCTTCTCACTCGGAACAAAACCCATGCATTTTAACACATGATTCATTGCGTGGCCTGTATCTCTCCACACTATAAATGAGGAGATTTGGAGAGTAGAACTTACGACTTCTTACTGTTATGAAATCAAACATGCATTTGGTCAAAATTTAATCCCCCCCCATATTAAAATTTGAGTGTATATATATATATCCAGAATAGGGGGCTTTATGAAAGAAAATCTGAGTTAAAAACTGAGTGAAAAACATGAAAGAGTTGTAGTGAGGGTTGTAGGGTTATAGGCAGACATTTATTTTAGTGTTTAAATGTATATTGGATCGCTTTCTCATCTCTTCATCCGGTGATATGGATAAGGGTGGATTAACTCGCCAAGAATAGGCCTACCATTGCCATTCCTTTCCAACTTTCTTGGTTCATTGCCTTCTTTTCTTTACCTATTTTCCTTGGTTTCTTATAATAGTTGCAGGTCGGATTGGATTGGATATACCTCTCGAGTCTGTCTTAACTTAGGAGTACTAGGATCTCAACCTTCTTAAATTCAAAATTAGAAGAGAAAAACAAAGAATCTTAGATACGTAGATAATGTGGGAAAACTAATAAGATTTATTTTTCAAAACTAATTTGGTAGCATGGCGTGGAATGATTGATGAATGGATTTGAAGATGTTTAAATTAAAATGGTAAAGGTTGTGGGTCCAATTTAAAAAAAAAAAAAGAAAAGAAAAGAAGAGAAAATGTATAGTGCAAAACCAATTTAAAAGGGGAGGTGGAATATATATTAATTAATTAATAGAGTTGGAATTCACAATTGGATTTAATTAGAAAGGTTAATAAAAGACCCGCAGGTGATGAGGCTGAAAACGCCGCGGGGTTTGTGTTACGAGTCTCGGGTACACAAATTCGGAATTTTTGTTTTTCTTTTTTTTTTAAAAAAAATTCGGAATATTCAATCCTCCCAATGCGACAATAATACCGCATTCAATTTAATAAATCAATATATTTATATATATATATATATTTTTGGTCATCAACTGAAAATTGAGATGGAAAAATAATAATAATAATAATAATAATAATAATAATGTTAAAAAGACATGCCTCACCTAAAAATTACCCTATTCCATTCACTCTCCCTCCCAGTAGGCCATGTCCACCCACCATAGCGGTAGTGTGGGACCCTCTACCGATATTCCCTTTTTATAACTGTAACTCCAACAAAATAATAATAATAATAATAATAAATAGAATTGAAGTTTAATAATGAAGGAAGGAATAAAAAAGAAAATGTTGAGAGGGACCGAACATACGTTAGCGGAAGGTTTTGTAAGAATTGAGATGGGGAAAGAAGGGGAGAGAGACGCAATGGGAGCACGTGACCTGCCAACACACTTTTCTGTTTCGCATGGCCAAAAGGAAAAAGGCGAAGCCATGGGCATCGGGCATCGGGCATCGGGCATCGGACACTCCCCCGTGCCCATACCCACACCCACTCCCTTCTCTCTAAAGCTACACCATTTTTTTTTCAAAAAAGCTGTAACTGCCTTTTTACATCTGTATTTGGGTCCGTCCTTGGCTGTTTCTTACGGTCTCTGTTTTCTTGTTTGTTTCTGCAGGGGTTGAGCTGAATCTATTTTACTGAACCAACGCGCTTTTCCTTCTCTTTTTTCTCAATCTTCATCTAAAGAAGAAGCAAGGCTATGGTTTTGGAGTCCCTTAGTGTTGAAATATCATCACTAGCCCAATAGAGTCAAGCCCAATAATTGTACTAGCCCAATAGAGTCAAGCCTAATTGTACGAGCCCAGTATATTTATTTTAGTAGAGATTTTAGGAGAAAGAGATGTAGATATTTTAGGAGAAAGATTCAATTTGTTAGGTCTAGATTCAAATCGGTTAGGTCTAGATTTAGATTGGTTAAATATAGATTGTTTACTCTTAGTATAAATACCCCCACCCTACCTAGGTTATTCATCCAAGAAATCTAAAAACAATAAAAAGCAGAAGTATTCTACAGAGTGTCTTGTATTCTCTTCTCGATTGGTCTTAATAAAGAGAGTGAGTTGTGTTCAACATTTGGTATCAGAGCGAGGTTAGTGTAGGTTATCTGATCTCTTGGAATCCTTAGTATGCTCTGTGGTTGCAGCTCTGCCTGATCTTCCACATCAGAAACGATTTCTTGAGATTAGTGGTGAGTGAGTTTCTTTTGTGTCGTGAGAAGTCTGTGACTCTGCAAGTCTTGTGTCAAAAGAACTTGTTTGGTATTACTGAGGTATGGCCAACACGATGAGTGATTTCCAAATCGTTGGAGGAATTAAGAAACTCAACAACAACAACTACAACACGTGGGCAACATGCATGATGTCCTATTTACAAGGACAGGATCTTTGGGAGATCGTTGGCGGGTGTGAAACTACGCCGCCAGAGGAGGATTCTAACGACGCCTTGCGCAAATGGAGAGTCAAAGCAGGCAAAGCAATGTTTGCCTTGAAGACCACCATCGGAGAAGAGATGTTAGAACATATTTGGGATGACAAGACACCGAAAGAAGCATGGGACACATTCGTGATGTTGTTCTCAAAGAAGAATGATACGAGACTACAACTTCTGGAGAATGAGTTGTTGTCAATTTCACAACGTGATATGACGATTGCTCAGTACTTCCACAAGGTCAAATCGATCTGTCGGGAGATTACTGAACTAGACCCAAAGTCCGCCATTGTAGAATCTCGAATGAAGAGGATTATAATCCACGGATTGCGACCAGAATATCGAAGCTTCATTGCTGCTGTACAAGGATGGCCCACTCAACCATCACTGGTAGAGTTCGAAAATTTGTTAGCCAGCCAAGAAGCCATGGCTAAACAAATGGGAGGCTTCACGTTGAAGGGTGAAGAAGCACTCTACACGAGTGAAAGTCAGAGCAATAATAGGCCGTCTACCAGACGTGGATACAATGGTGACAAAAGAAGAAGCCACCAAGGGATTGCACAACCTGAGAGAGCTCAGAAGAACGACAACAAGAGTTTTCAAAGAACGAGATTTGGTGGTATTTGCTATAACTGCGGGAAAAAGGGCCATATGTCTAGAGATTGTTGGTCCAGGAAAAAGACCATTGAAAACAATGTGGCAATATCCAAAAAGAAGATAGAAGATGAATGGGATGCAGAGGTACTATGTCCCATAGAAGAAGACGAGCTAGCACTCATGGCGACAATGGAAGACCATATCAACTATGAGAATGACTGGATCGTTGATTCAGGATGTTCAAATCACATGACTGGCGATCAGAGAAAATTGCAAGACAAGAAAGAGTACAAAGGAAGTCGTATGGTACGTACAGCAAATAACACACAGTTATCAATTGCTCAAATCGGCAATACGACAATCATGCCTGGCAATAAGTCTGATACAGTGTCGCTACATAATGTTTATCATGTACCGGGTATAAAGAAGAACTTGTTGTCAGTGTCACAACTAACAACATCAGGAAGCTATGTCGTGTTTGGGCCAGAAGATGTAAAAGTTTATCAAGATGTTAAGATAATAGGAAAGCCGACGATAGAAGGACGAAGAGTGGAGTCTGTCTACGTTCTATCTGCAGAGTCTGCCTATGTTGACAAGACCCGAAAGAATGAGACGACAGATCTATGGCATGCAAGATTGGGACATATTAGCTACCATAAGTTGAAGCTGATTATGGAGAAATCTATGCTCAAAGGTCTACCACAACTGGAAGTCAAAACAGACGTTGTCTGCGCTGGATGTCAGTATGGTAAAGCTCATCAATTACCATACAAAGAGTCAAGTTTCAAAGCAAAGAAACCATTAGAGTTAGTTCACTCTGATTTGTTCGGCCCAGTCAAACAAGCATCGATCAGCGGAATGCGGTATATGGTGACATTTATTGACGACTACTCAAGATATGTGTGGATTTTCTTTATGAAAGAAAAGTCTGACACGTTCTCAAAGTTTCAAGAATTCAAGATGATGGTCGAAGGAGAAGTAGGAGCGAAGATTCGTTGTCTACGTTCAGACAATGGCGGAGAATACACGTCAGATGAGTTCGATCAATATTTACACGAGTGTGGGATACGACGTCAATTTACATGTGCCAACACGCCACAACAAAATGGTGTAGCAGAAAGAAAGAATCGACACCTTGCAGAAACCTGTCGAAGCATGTTACACGCAAAGAACGTTCCAGGAAGATTTTGGGCTGAAGCTATGCGAACTGCTGCCCATGTGATCAACAAGCTTCCTCAACCAAAGCTAGGGTTCGTCTCACCATTTGAGATACTATGGGATATGAAACCTACAATTAGTTATTTCCGAGTATTTGGCTGTGTTTGCTATGTATTTGTGCCTGACCATCTACGTAGCAAGTTTGACAAGAAAGCAGTCAAGTGTGTATTTGTTGGATACGACAATCAAAGAAAAGGATGGAGGTGCTGTGATCCAACAAGTGGAAAATACTATACATCAAGAGATGTAGTTTTTGATGAAGCATCTACATGGTGGTCCTCGGAGAAGAAAGTCTTATCAGATTCAAACATTGAAGAAATTCTACAACAGAAGCTGGGGGAGCAAACTACACAAATTCAATCAAATTTCGATGCATCTGAAAATCCAAGCGACATTGATATTGACAAGCAGGAGGTGACTCAATCAAGCGAATCTGATAAAAATGAAACAACACATCAACAACTTAGGCGATCAAATAGAATCCGAAGGCCAAATCCTAAGTATGCAAATGCAGCTATTGTAGAAGATAGAGTTTACGAACCAGAGACATATGAAGAAGCATCACAAAACTCGGTTTGGCAGAAAGCGATGGAGGAAGAAATTATAGCCTTGGAGCATAATCAAACTTGGGAACTAGTGCCAAGACTAGGAGATATCAAACCCGTCTCTTGCAAGTGGGTCTATAAAATAAAGCGTCGACCGGATGGATCAATCGAGAGATACAAGGCTCGACTCGTGGCTCGAGGATTTTCTCAACAATATGGACTAGATTATGATGAAACATTCAGTCCAGTGGCAAAGATTACTACCGTACGAGTTCTGCTAGCACTCGCAGCAAGTAAAGATTGGAAACTGTGGCAAATGGATGTGAAGAATGCCTTCTTGCACGGAGAGCTAGACAGGGAGATTTATATGAACCAACCAAAGGGATTTGAGAGTGCAGCTAATCCTAATTATGTATGCAAGCTTAGAAAAGCTCTTTATGGACTGAAACAAGCACCGAGAGCTTGGTATGGTAAGATTGCTGAATTTCTTACCCAAAGTGGTTATTCAGTTGCGCATGCAGACTCAAGCCTATTCATCAAAGAAAGAGAAGGAAATTTGACAATTGTGTTGGTCTACGTGGACGATTTGATTATCACCGGGGACGATGAAAGAGAAATTTATCAAACAAGAGAAAATTTATCAATACGCTTTCAGATGAAAGAGCTAGGAGAGCTTAAACACTTCTTAGGCCTAGAAGTTGATCGCACAGATGAAGGACTGTTTCTCTGCCAACAAAAGTATACCAGAGACATGCTTCAGAAGTTCAACATGTTAGAGTGCAAGCAAGTTTCAACACCGATGGAGATAAATGCCAAGATTTGTGCACATGAAGGCAAAGAGTTGAACGATGAAACAACGTACCGACAACTAGTAGGTAGTCTTATCTACCTAACTTTAACTCGACCTGATATCTCGTATGCAGTTGGGGTTATGAGTCGATACATGCAAAGTCCAAAGAAGCCTCATCTGGATGCAGCTCGACGGATCTTGAGATATATCAAAGGTACAATCGACTATGGTCTTTTGTACAAAAGAAGCAAAGACTGCAAGCTAGTTGGATACTGTGATGCTGACTATGCAGGAGACCACGATACTCGGAGGTCAACCACTGGGTATGTGTTCAAGTTTGGTTCGGGAACAATTTCTTGGTGTAGCAAGAGACAACCAACAGTATCATTATCAACTACAGAAGCAGAGTATAGAGCAGCGGCTGGAGCAGCCCAGGAAAGTACATGGCTAAAACTCTTGATGGAAGATTTGCACCAGAAAATTGACTATCCAATATCACTTCTTTGCGACAACCAATCTGCGATTCGCCTTGCAGAAAATCCAGTGTTTCATGCTAGAACAAAGCATGTGGAGGTGCACTACCATTTCATTAGAGAGAAGGTCCTAAAGGAAGAAATTGAGATGCAGCAGATCAAGACAGATGACCAAGTGGCAGACTTGTTTACAAAAGGGTTGAATACTAGCAAACATGAGAGCTTTCGCTGTCAGCTCAACATGATGCAGCGAATGAGGACTAGTGCTGAGGGGGAGTGTTGAAATATCATCACTAGCCCAATAGAGTCAAGCCCAATAATTGTACTAGCCCAATAGAGTCAAGCCTAATTGTACGAGCCCAGTATATTTATTTTAGTAGAGATTTTAGGAGAAAGAGATGTAGATATTTTAGGAGAAAGATTCAATTTGTTAGGTCTAGATTCAAATCGGTTAGGTCTAGATTTAGATTGGTTAAATATAGATTGTTTACTCTTAGTATAAATACCCCCACCCTACCTAGGTTATTCATCCAAGAAATCTAAAAACAATAAAAAGCAGAAGTATTCTACAGAGTGTCTTGTATTCTCTTCTCGATTGGTCTTAATAAAGAGAGTGAGTTGTGTTCAACACCTTAGGAGACGCCTCAAGCACCATTCACATTCGCCCCTCTCAGATCTCTAGGATCTCACAACTTCAACTTCCCACAACACTCTCGCTTTCTCTCCCATTCATTCCTCTTCTCTTTTACTATGCTCATCCTTGATACATGCCACAACATGGCCTGAAAATTTACCCAACGGAGAATTCATTATGGAACCACCTTTTCTGTTATGGAAACCGGTTTTTGTAGTTTTGGCACTCCTCCAAGTTTCTTCTGCTACGCTGTCTCCTTCTGGTGTGAACTACGAAGGTTAATCTCTCTTTGCTTCCTGTTTCCGCCTCCCTCCATCTTACTTTTTATCCACTACCAACAACCCCATTTTTGTTTTGTTTTGTTTTGTTTTGTTTTCATTGAGCAAGTTTAGTGCCAGCTATTTTGTGTTTCGGAATTCAAATTTGTGAGTCGGGCGATGAACTTTACTTACATTTTCCTTCTTCTGGAAATCTGAACAGTCGTAGCTTTGATGGCCATAAAAAATGATTTAATAGATCCCCACAATGTCTTGGAGAATTGGGATTCTAATTCTGTGGATCCCTGTAGCTGGAGAATGGTCACCTGTTCTCCAGATGGATATGTTTCTGCTTTGTAAGTGTTCTTACTCCCTTATCTCCTTTTTGCTCATTGTTTCGTAGATTTGACCACATTTAAAAAAATATTTTGGGATTATTTGTTCTTAATTTTATAAACAGGGGGCTACCGAGCCAGAGTTTGTCTGGGGTCTTATCACCGGGGATTGGAAACCTCAGTAAGTTGGAATCAGTGTAAGCTTCTCCATTCTCCTTACACAAACCCCTGGTTTATGCACTTTGATTATTCAGTTAAAGTTCTACAAAATTTCCGTATATTTTCTATCTAATGAAAATAATTCCATGTGCTATCACAAATATATATGCAGGTTGCTTCAGAACAATGACATTTCAGGGCCAATTCCTGCAACCATTGGAAATTTAGAGAACTTGCAGACTCTTGATCTCTCCAACAATGTATTCAGTGGTGTAATACCCAGTTCCCTTGGAGACTTGAAGAAGCTTAATTATTTGTAAGTTTTGTAATCTTTCTCTTGCTTTTCATTCCGCATCCATTCTGATCTTTGTCAACTGCCCATTATGTTTTTGAGCAAGGCAGGCGACTAAATAACAACACCCTAACTGGACCTTGTCCTGAATCTCTATCCAAAGTTGAAGGTCTCACGCTTGTGTATGTTCTTTACCTCTCCATACCACTTTTCCAGTTGGGAGAAATATATATTCACTATTTTAGTTGAACTGATAGGGACCTTTCATACAACAACTTGAGTGGCTCCTTGCCCAAAATATCAGCAAGAACATTCAAGTGAGTTATTTTCTTTATCATATCAACAAATTCATGTCATCTTAATCAAGTAAAAAATTTCAAAAACCTCAAGTAGTACTGTTTCTTTCGTTCAGAATTATTGGTAACCCTCTGAGCTGTGGTCCAAACAACTGTTCTGCTATCTTTCCAGAGCCCTTGTCGTTTGCTCCAGATGCTCTCGAAGGTGTGGGTCTGATGACTTCTATTTTATTTTTATTTGTTAACTCAACATATAGAATCTGGTTTTTGATTGCTTGGGGTCTTTTTTCCTCAGGAAATTTGGGATTTGGTAAGAGCCACCGCAAGGCAATTGCTTTTGGGGCAAGTTTTAGTGCTGCTCTTATTGTATTAGTCCTTATTGGACTACTGGTCTGGTGGAGATACAGACACAACCAGCAGATCTTCTTTGATGTAAATGGTAAGTTTCTCCTTGCTCATTCATGGCATTTTGATTAAGTGGTATTTTATTCAGCAGGAAGAGAATTTTATGACAGAAATTGTTGTTGAATTAATATAACATTAATGGAACAGATCAATATGACCCAGAGGTACGTTTGGGGCATTTGAGAAGGTACACATTCAAGGAACTTCGGGCAGCAACTGATCATTTCAACTCAAAGAATATATTGGGTAGAGGTGGGTTTGGAATTGTGTTCAAGGGATGCTTAAATGATGGGACTCTGGTAGCGGTTAAAAGGTTGAAGGATTATAACACTGCCGGTGGGGAGATCCAATTTCAGACTGAAGTAGAGATGATAAGCTTAGCTGTGCACCGAAACCTTCTCAGGCTTTTTGGCTTCTGTTCTACTGAGAGTGAAAGACTGCTGGTTTACCCATTTATGCCCAATGGCAGCGTTGCATCTCGTCTAAGAGGTATGTTGCATGAAAACATATTGATACCCCTATAACACTGCTGGTGGCTATCAATTGCATCTGGCTTAACAACACAAGATATTGAATGTTCATATGGTTCCACATAGCTTGATGAGGCTGTTTACTTGGTTTTTAGAAAAGAAAAATTAAGCAGTGGGGCATTTCATAATCTTCAATCCCTTGTTTGTTTATCAGATCATATCCATGGGCAGCCGGCTCTAGATTGGGCAATGAGAAAAAGAATAGCGTTGGGCACAGCTAGAGGATTGGTGTACTTGCACGAGCAGTGTGACCCCAAAATTATCCATCGTGATGTGAAGGCCGCCAACATTCTCCTTGATGAAGACTTCGAGGCCGTGGTTGGAGACTTTGGGCTGGCCAAACTTTTGGATCACAGAGATTCTCACGTGACTACAGCGGTGCGTGGCACTGTAGGCCATATTGCTCCAGAGTACTTATCAACAGGACAATCGTCAGAAAAGACTGATGTTTTTGGGTTTGGAATCTTGCTTCTTGAGTTAATTACTGGTCAGAAGGCTCTGGATTTTGGTCGAGGAGCAAACCAGAAGGGCGTGATGCTTGATTGGGTAACTCCTTGTTTTCATTATGTGCATGCCAACTACACTCATGATAATTCAATCTATTAGTACTAGAAACCTGCACGTTTGGCTTCTTGGGTCTTGCATTGTTTTGATTAAACAAGCCATGTGGAGTTCTTTAATTTTTCCTGTTAATATATAATAGGTGAAAAGGTTGCACCAGGAAGGAAAGCTGAATATGATGGTGGATAAGGATCTAAGAGGCAACTACGACAGAGTTGAGCTAGAGGAAATGGTCCAGGTTGCCCTGTTATGCACTCAATTCAATCCTTCTCACCGACCCAAAATGTCTGAAGTACTAAAAATGTTGGAAGGCGATGGGTTAGCTGAGAAATGGGAAGCGTCACAGCACGTCGAGACGCCAAGATACCGACTGTGTGAGAAACCCCCTCAACTGTACTCAGATTATATAGAAGAATCTTCTTTGATCGTAGAAGCCATGGAGCTTTCAGGCCCCAGATGAGAGCCTTCATTTTCTTTCTTGTGTAATTCCCTCTTACATCATTAACTTGCAGTTGCAGAGAAACAAGTGTGGTTTCATGCTTGTGTAATTCTCTTCTGTAAAAAGGAATGAGAGAAAGAGTAATGCATGCTCCTAAGGTGGTTGTTGAGAAATTAATGTCCTAAAATACCACATTGCCAGAACAAAACGACATGTCGTTTGTTAATTTGTGCACAGAATACGGCCCATCCCATATGGATGTTCAAGTGGGGCCCCATGCCCTGCCACGAACTGCATGCTCCGTCGTAATCGAAGTTAAAATGCAGAATACTTGGACGTGGGATAAGATGATTGAACAAGGCGGAGGCGGAAGGGCCGGCTGTGGATATTACGATAAAACATGAGCGCATGTCGGCATGCGATCCGGTCCGAAGCATCATTGTCGAATTTTACACGCGAGGACGCCGACTTGGGATTCATCGTTTGGTTTCATTATCTGCCAAAACTATTATATTATAGATACACCCTCGTATATCCATCCAAATAAATTATGAAACGGGTTTAATGAACAATGCTGCTGTAATTCATTCGCATTCATCATGGTTTAGAATTGCTTATTATATATATAATATCAAGGGGTTCGGAGTTTGATGTTTCTGCTGTCTCTGCCTCGCAGTTCATTGCTGAACTTTACCCTCTTTTGCCGCTTTGTAAACCGTTAAAAAACAGAAACCTACTCCCCGAAGCCCCCCCTCTCTCTGGTGTTCAACCACCTTTATAATCCATTTTCCATCAAATCCTTCTTTCATTAAGGGTAGCCTCCACCGATTTAGGCCATGCACCGCCGGAAAATTGGATTCCCCGAGCAGATTTTACCGCCGAGGAGAAGACTTGTTCCTGGGATTGGTCTTGGCATTGCCGTTCCTCTCATTGTTGTCGGCTTTCTTTGGCTCTACACTTCTTCTCATGTCAATTTCTTCTTCTCTCTGTCTAATCGCCCCACTTCCGTGGCTTCCCTCTTTTCTTCCTCGTCTCTCCCCTTTTCTGATTTAACCGCTAATTCTTCCAAGCTGGGGACCTATGATGGTGACACACCAACCCTTGTGCCTGTTCCTCCCCATATGGCGTCATTGGTTCAGCCACTTGCCAATGGGAGCTTGCAACTTAACACCCATTCGCTAAATAGCTCCAAAATTTGGAATGCAACTTTGTCCCTTGAATCCAAAAATGTTTCTGGAAATGGAACAATTTCTAGCCTAGCGAAGTTGGACTCCCAGAAGATAACTGCAGATAATTTACCGAGTAACACCACGTCTTTGAACAACAATACTACTCAATACCAGAAAAAGAACAATCATTCTTCCAATGCTGAGGACAAGAGATCGTCCGAAGGTGATGGTGGGTCTCAACCAGTGGCAACATCAAATAACAGTTTTGATGAGGAGTGTGATATCTTCGATGGTGGATGGATGAGGGATGATTCGAAGCCATATTATCCTAAGGGTTCTTGCCCTTACATCGACAGGGACTTTGATTGCCATCTTAATAAGAGGCCAGACGATGGATATTTGAAATGGAAATGGCAGCCAAATGGGTGTAACATTCCAAGGTATTACTTTAACCCAATCCCCTCGTCCTTAAATTACTTGCATGTTAGGTTCAATGGTTCATGAATGAATGAAAAATTAGTATGGTGTTTACAAACCTCTTTCCTAAAACCCCTTTTGACTTCTGCTGCTTTCAGTCTGAACGCAACACATTTTCTAGAGGTGTTGAGGGGAAAGCGTTTGGTGTTTGTTGGGGATTCATTGAATAGGAACATGTGGGAGTCTCTGGTGTGCATTCTTCGTCATAGTATAAGCGACAAGCAAAGAGTGCATGAGATATCTGGAAGGACAGAGTTCAAGAAGAAGGGCTTCTACGCCTTCCGGTTCGAGGCAAGATTTCCATGATCTTCCATTCCAGTCAACCCATGTTTGTCATTTTCTAATGTTTTCAACTCACCTTTCCCTTTGTTGCATCTGCAGGACTACAACTGTTCTGTGGATTTTGTTAGTTCTCCATTCCTAGTTAGGGAGTCTTCATTCAAAAGAAAGAATGGAACCATCGAGACATTAAGATTGGATCAAATGGACCCAACCACCCAAATGTATAAGGATGCCGATGTTTTGGTGTTTAATACAGGCCATTGGTGGACTCATGAAAAAACATCGAGGGGGTATGTATTATACTCAGCATTTTGATTCAATCCAACCTCTTGGGGATTTGTATTGAGAAGGAACATTGTGTTTTAGAGAAGAATATTACCAAGAAGGTAACCATGTGCACCCAAGGCTGAAGGTGTTGGAAGCGTTTAAGAGGGCTCTCACCACTTGGGGTCGATGGGTCGACAACAATGTTGATAGAAATCGAACTCTGGTTTTCTTCAGAGGGTATTCATATTCTCATTTCAGGTATATGAAATGCTCTCCCTTTCCTGCTTCCAATCTGGAATATTGTTAGAAATGGTTTGAATATATGTTTGCAGTGGTGGGCAATGGAACTCGGGAGGGCAATGCAGCGGTGAAACAGAACCAATCTATAACAAAACACAGTTGGGGAAGTACCCTAACAAAATGAGGGCTGTGGAGTATGTGATTCAGGAGATGGAAACGCCAGTGTGGTACTTAAACATCACCAGGCTCACTCACTATCGGAAGGATGCACACCCTTCAATTTATAGAATGAAGTACAAGACAGAATCAGAAAAACGTGCCGGTCTCCGGGTTCAAGATTGCAGCCATTGGTGCTTGCCCGGCGTACCCGATACTTGGAATGAGCTGCTTTATGCCTCCCTTTTAAGGATGGCAAACAGATATTGGAGCAACTAAGCAAGTTTTATATGGACCAAATACTGTTTAATCGTTTAGGTTGTGAGCAGCAGCATGGTACATGGCTACAACTACAGTTGAGTGATAGATTACCTGAGGCGTGCAAATGTAGAGCAACAATAATGATGTATGTATTCTATAATCCAAATCGTTTGAAATAGAAATGGACTTTTTTTATTCATTAACTTGTAGGTCAAAAGACGACCCCATAAAGTAGACTGAGTAAGAGTCCACGCCATTTCGTGACTTGCCGGAATGCCGGAGCAAAATCCAAAGGCCAAGCAGAGAATGAAACTAAGTAGGCAGAGGGCATGGCTGATGGGTTTAGCTCAGGGATTTGAGGAGGAAGGTGAGACATTGGCATTGTATACCCTCACCGGATCTCCACTAGCTTTTCTTCAAGGGCTGTGGTGAAGGTCCATGGACCAAGCCACAGCGCGACTGCCCCCATCTGATTCAACGCCTCTTAGATTAGAAAAGGTGGGGGAGAAGTTGGGTTCTCCATTGTGGGTTTAAATGCACGACCAACCTGGTACCCCATTATAATACTCCCACTCTTCCATTCCGCTCCAAACGATTCAAATTTGGGTGGAGCTTCCATTCCCAATTCAAAATTAATGCTCGGCTCGGCTTACATTGAGAGCTCTCTTCAGAGCATTGGTTGGGTAGGGACAAGGGAGGGGCAGCTCTGGCTTTCACTAATATTGTGCGAATTTAAAAATTGGGATTTGGGGGTGAAGATTCTCGATGTGGAGGGGGATCTTAATTAAGGAAAAGACAAAGAGCTCCTCCTCAGAATCGCACCCACGGCCACTAATAAATAAAGGAAAGAATTATTGGAGGCGTTTTGGGCTGGGCCGGATTAGAGAGAAGGCATGAAAATGAAAGGGCAGGAAGCAAACCCGATCCATTTAATGGGGGGGAATGAGTGGTGAGCGGAGAATCCGTAAAGGAAATGAAAAGCGGTTGGCGTTTAGAAAGCGTTACAGGTATCGCTTTCACAAGAGACAAGTAGGAGCTCAGCATTTTTTATGACCTGAAATTCTGTCCTAACAAATTAAGAATTACAATATTATCCATTGTATGGTCGGGTTAAGCAGATTAAGAAACAAACAAAGAAATGTACCCATAATATTGACCAAAAAACAGAGCCAACTGTGTGTTATTTGTAACTTGGCTTTACAACAGATAGGGGGGATGTTTCTTGCACCTTCTCTGTACCCTTTTCTGTAGACAATTTTGTGGTGTTCTTGGGTGGGCTGTCCACCCATACATACAGCCACTCATATCACCTATCTAAATACTTGTTAAAATATAACAAATCAATGATTGGGAAAAAAAAAAAGTAAGTAATTGATAAAAAGAGTGACGACAATAATTAAGAAGTGAGAAGGAGAGTTAAGAGCGCACAGGGGAAGCTCACTGTGGCGTGCTGCAAATTTATGATTACAACTGCACCCCGCATACTTAGGGGGGACACAGATCGTGGCCTTTGACTTTAGTCAATGCCCACTGCCATCCATTTTCTTCGCCTCCTCAATAATAAACCCTATAACAACTTTATTCTATGTGCACCTCCTTCTCAGTAACCATTACCATTCATATTCATGTGTTTTAAAATCAGGAGACGAGCGGACAATATCTATTAGTAGTCAACTTAGGCGATTGTTGGAATAATTTCAAATATGAAAAGTTAAATTCAGAAGAAGAATTGAAATTCGTTGACGGTCACGGCTAATGACGATGTCGTGTAGTTAACCATTGCATTGCAAACCATGAGAGGTGGTTGACTGCTTAATTTTCAGTTGGATCATCCCCTCTTGTTGAACATGAATTATTGATTATGGGATAAACATTTCTCTCTGTTCAATTATTCACATCATCAATGTGTGATACATTGAACAGTAATGATAATAATTGGTACAAGAAGTTGGATAAATATAGAATAAGGAGTTTTAAAACCCTACATGTATGCATGACTCAGAGAGGGAAAACGTTAATGAAGATAAAAACATGAGGTGAAGTTAAATGAAATGGAAGTGATTTAGAATTAGGATGAGAAGAAGATTAAGATGTGTTGATGATGAGGAACCAAATGGGGCCTACAGAATTCATAAAGATAATATGAGGAGGTAGGAAGAGAGTAGAGAAGGGAGCGAGAGACCAAGGGTGCAGTGGGGAGGGCGCAGTGGGGAGGGCGCAGTGGGGAGGGCGCAGTGGGGAGGGCAGGGCGAAGGGAGCGAGAGACCAAGGGTGCAGTGGGGAGGGCGCAGTGGGGAGGGCGCAGTGGGGAGGGCGGGGCGAAGGGAGCGAGGAGGATGACTGGACAACTAGTTAATATTAAAATAAAAATAAATAAATAAAATAAATGGGCCGTAAATAAATAAAACAAGAATTTCACGTTGTCCACCACCGCCTTGGTAACAAACTGCTCCTCCGATAGAAGCTCAACTGGAAGGAAACCAGAATAGAATTAGCTTTGGGTGATGGATTGATGAGTTAGCAGCTTTACTTACCTCCCCCCTCTCCTTCCGTCCTCTTTCTTCCTTTCCTTTCCTTTCCTTTCCTTTCACCTACAGTTGAGATGGGGGAGAACATGTACGGCATGCGCTCCACTCCCCAATTCTCGCCCAAGTCCTTCCTTTCACCCCACACTCCTATCCTTCCCCTCGATTACCAGACCTTCCTTCCCTCCACCAACTACTTTCCCCGCGATCGGATTCCTGTGTTCGGATCCGATGAACTGCTTTCCGAAGCTGAACCACCTTCCATCACTCCAGATTTTCCGCTCGCTCAAGATGTTCCCACCCTCATCAAGGCCAAAATTCTCTCTCATCCTACCTATCCTCGTTTGCTTCACGCTTATATTGACTGCCACAAGGTGATCCAACTACTTCTTCCTATCTCTCTCTCCTTTTTTCTGTTCTCCACTTTCAATTGTGTTGCGCCCAACTATTGATTTACTACCACTCAATTACGTTCGCCCTTTGATCTTCCAATTCTGACTCGTGAAATACTCGGTTGTTTGTACACCATACATACGCATCATCGCGATGACCAATTTTTTACGGTCTTCCTTTTGGTTTTCCAAGAACCGAGACTTATTTCCCGAATAAGAAAGGAAGACGGGTAAAAAGTAGCGGCGTCTCACAATTTCTAGCTCAACTTCAAACTCAAAGTAGAAATTGCCGTTGTTTTTTTTTTCTTTTCTTTTATGTTCCCTTTTACTATTAATCAAACCTAGAAATTAAAAATCATCCGTGTGTCTGATTTTCACTGCAATTCTAATGGACTCTTCGATGATTTAACCAAAAGCTTTTCTGGTGCATCATAAACTAACTCGCTACCAATTTAATTTCATTTCATTTAATGATGTGTTTCTATTTTGAGGTCAGGTTGGAGCACCGCCGGAGATAGCTTGTTTGTTGGAGGAAATCCGGCGAGAAAATGACAGTCATAAACAAAACGCCATCTCCACGTGCTTCGGAGGCGATCCCGAGCTCGATGAGTTCATGGTAATGGTCCCCCCCCCCGCTCACTCGCCCGCCCACACGCAAACTTCGTGATTCTAACTAATTTGGCCATGGTGCTTTCCATTCTATTCTATTCTATTCTGTTCTATTCTAGTATAGCTGAAAGCTGGTATTGTCTCTCTCCGGATAGGAAACATACTGTGACATGCTGGTGAAGTATAAATCAGATCTGTCAAGGCCCTTTCATGAAGCTTCCTCCTTCTTGAGTGACATTGAACTGCAACTTAGCAACCTCTGTGCTGGTGCCTCCACCAGAAGCTCCTCCAGTCAGTCTCTCTCCCTTTCTTTTTCTTTCAATAATCTCTTGTTTTCGCACTCTATTTCAACTTGTTTCTATTCGCTGTTTTGTTTCCATCCCTTGTTTCTGCCTACATTATTTTGACTTAATCTGAATCCGAAATGATTCATTATTAGGCCTTGGGAGAAAGAATACTAACCTCCGCGTGATAAACGAAACGGGTAGATGTAAAATGCTTAAGCAACCACCACTTAGTCTCCCCAATCCGACCTATTCTGTCAATGTTTTTGATTTGCGGAATGCAAATCATGAACGCACTGAGACCCCCAAACAAAACTCGGAAGAATAGTATGGTGTTTCGCGTGGGGTAATAGAACACGAACAAACTGCGAACCCTAGTACACAGAGAGACCCACGCCTTTGATTGCCCACGATTCTCGGGTCTTTTCCGGTGATTATTGCTTGCTCAGCTTTTTTTTTTTTTTTTTTTTTTTTTTTTTTTTTTTTTTTTTTTTTTTTTTTTTTTTTTTTTTTTTTTTTTTTTTTTTTTTTTTTTTTTTTTTTTTTTTTTTTTTTTTTTTTTTTTTTTTTTTTTTTTTTTTTTTTTTTTTTGTACAATGGACATCATTATTTAAGCTTGAGGGCTTTAAAACAACGCCTACTGAAGTCTGGACCTTCCTTCCCCGTTTTCCTTTTCAGTTTCATTTTGTTATCTGGGATGGGAATTGGTTTAATTTCATTTTTCAGCCACGGTAAAAATGCTGTTTGTTGTTTTTATCCATTTTTTCCTTTTCTTTGTTTCTTACCTTTTCGAGGATAAGGCGGATGTAAAGAGGTTTCCGTACTAGAGATTCTGATTTTGACTCTCGGATATTGGGGATGACTTTCCCGGGTAATGCTAATGCTAATGGTAATGGTATAGACTTATGGTCGGGGTGGTTGGTGACAATGATTAAATATGGGGTGCGAGTCTGGAGGGAACCTACCGAAGTGGGACTTGTGGCCTGTTTGGTTTAATCCCCTTCTTTTACTCGGCGTGTAATGCTGTTCACATAAAAATATGGAAGGGTTTTTACTACCAAAATTAAAGATACGCACAGAGCTAAACAACTTCGACCACTCCCTCTGTCATCTATAAATGGGTGGAAGGCTCTCCTCCTGGTGCATGCTTGTCTAGTTGAATTTTAGTAGTCACACGCAGCACCAGTGTGGCAGGTGGTGTAGATTGTTGTTACCTTGGCATTATATGCTGGACGTTTTGTCACATATTGTTTTTGCTAGAGGGTTAGAAAAATATATTTTGCTTCAACTTTCCCTTTTTACTGTTGTTTTATCACTTCAACATTACCATACTTGAGATGTTCATAGGACTGTATCAAACAGTTCTCTCATCTTATTGGACTAGACTTTACGATCTTTTTCCTTTTTAAAAAAGAAAAATACAAAACAAAATAATGCCCATATCTGGTATTCAGAAGATGAAAATAGGACGGGGAGAAAAACAAGAAAGATTGAACCATGTTAATCTATTGCCTCAAACAAGCACTCAATAGTTGTTGGTCAATATTTTTACCCCATAAACTCTGCCTTTTTCCTCTTAAATAAAAAATAATAGCTGTGATTTTTTATGTCTTTTTGTCAATTTTTATTCAAGAAATGATTTATTAGAGTTCAGAATATTTTTATCTTACACTTCTTATAAACTATTAAAAATTTGCAAAAAGAAACTTTTCCTTGGATCTAAATTTTGTTTTTTAATACAGCAGAAAATGTCTTAATAATTTATTGTTTAATATTATTATTAACTTTTGAAACATTTAATATTTTCTTTGTTGATTTGCTCATAAAATAGGTTTTGATGCAGGTAAAAGTATATAGATGCATGTTGATAAAAAATAAATTTATGGGTCATGAAAATGAATTGTGAAAATTTCTTTTGATATAGAAAATATTT